TTGTCAAAGGGTGCTTTATGGGGTGCTAGAATAAAAAATTGGGGTAACTTTATGATGACTATAGTGAGAATGTTGCAGGAAAGTAATTCTTTGGTGAATATATATGTGTCCAATTTCACACAAATATTGGCGTCTCTCAAGAATTAATGTTAGGAAAATTGGGGTAACTTTTATCAGTAACGAGTAAGAGTGTTGTAGGAAGGTAGTTAATTGGTTAATATGTGTCCAATTTCACACAAATATTGGCGTCTCTCAAGAATATTAGGAAAATTGAGGTAACTTTTATCAGTAACGAGTAAGAATGTTGTAGAAAGGTATTCACTTGGTTAATATGTGTCCAATTTCACACAAATATTGGCGTCTCTCAAGAATATTAGGAAAATTGAGGTAACTTTTATCAGTAACGAGTAAGAATGTTGTAGAAAGGTATTCACTTGGTTAATATGTGTCCAATTTCACACAAATATTGGCGTCTCTCAAGAATATTAGGAAAATTGAGGTAACTTTTATCAGTAACGAGTAAGAATGTTGTAGAAAGGTATTCACTTGGTTAATATGTGTCCAATTTCACACAAATATTGGCGTCTCTCAAGAATATTAGGAAAATTGAGGTAACTTTTATCAGTAACGAGTAAGAATGTTGTAGAAAGGTATTCACTTGGTTAATATGTGTCCAATTTCACACAAATATTGGCGTCTCTCAAGAATATTAGGAAAATTGAGGTAACTTTTATCAGTAACGAGTAAGAATGTTGTAGAAAGGTATTCACTTGGTTAATATGTGTCCAATTTCACACAAATATTGGCGTCTCTCAAGAATATTAGGAAAATTGAGGTAACTTTTATCAGTAACGAGTAAGAATGTTGTAGAAAGGTATTCACTTGGTTAATATGTGTCCAATTTCACACAAATATTGGCGTCTCTCAAGAATATTAGGAAAATTGAGGTAACTTTTATCAGTAACGAGTAAGAATGTTGTAGAAAGGTATTCACTTGGTTAATATGTGTCCAATTTCACACAAATATTGGCGTCTCTCAAGAATATTAGGAAAATTGGGGTAACTTTTAACAGTAACGAGTAAGAATGTTGTAGACAGGTAGTTAATTGGTTAATATGTGTCCAATTTCACACAAATATATTGGCGTCTTTCAAGAATATTAGGGAAATTGGGGTAACTTTTATCAGTAACGAGTAAGAGTGTTGTAGGTAGGTAGTCAATTGGTTAATATGTGTCCAATTTCACACAAATATATATATTGGCGTCGATCTCTCAAGAATATTGGGAAAATTGAGGTAACTTTTATCAACGAGTAAGAATGTTGTAGAAAGGTAGTTAATTGGTTAATGTGTGTCCAATTTCACACAAATATTGGCGTCTCTCAAGAATATTAGGAAAATTGGTGCAACTTTTATCAATAACTAGCTGCCACGCCTAAAAACATGTGACCCAGCCCTAGAACAATTTGTGAACACGAAGCTCTAGGAAGATGTTCTGTGACTGGTTGATTATGTCAATGACAAGACGTAATTGGCTTACATAAACAAAAGGAATATTGTTCTTGCTTCGTTCTTTAGAAAATCCTAGCTTAGGCCCGTTTCATACGCCGTACTTCACATGTGCCGAATACATTACAAACAATAGATAATGAGACATTTTAGCTCATTATCTATTGTCTTTAATGTATTCGGCACATGTGAAGTACGGCGTATGAAACGGGCCTTATTCTTTTGTCATTGTCATAATCAACCAATCACAGAACATCTTCCTAGAGCTTCGTGCCGACCCACAAAAATATGTGGCCACGGCTACAAAATTAATTGGAGGCTAACACCCTGTAGTGAACTCCACCTAGTGGGGAAACTTTTATCACGTAAATGATTGTCAGCATTGGTGATGAATATTGAGTGAGAATACTGTCAACATGTAACCATGCACCATGCGTCTTGATACGAGTGTTTTACAAACAAGAAACTAATTGCAATCTTATTTCAGTAATTTGTCTTAGATGTGAGTATAATGTAAAAAGTATTCCAATATACAATGTACACTACGCAAGTACTATTTGATGTAGATACAAAAAACAGCCAATTATGTCCACATTTTATCCATGAACTTCGGGCAAAAAACTATTATTAAAGATGCTGTAAAGTCCGTTCTGCGCATATATTCTGCGCATCAACACATTCCTTCAGTGGGGGAGCAAACCTTTGGAATGTTGTTAATATTTCGCACCTTCCGAACTTTCTTGAATTGAATCTCTAGTCTGCATTCATTTACAAGCATAGCGAACCGGGAGAGTGTTAAAAATTCAGTATAATATATATCTAATCATATTTTACAACTGTAGCACTGAGTTCAAAATGTAAACAAAGCGTTTGTTTACATTACGGACTTTACATCACCTTTAAAAATAATTACAATAATTACAATTTTCTGTTTTGTACGCTGCGTGCTACACAGTCCAATATTGATTCTTAAGTAAATACTAAGTTACCTAGCTATTATCATTGGGATGTTCTCGCGCTGAACAAGGCTCTTAGAAATGCAGTATTAAATAACTGTATACCTATAGAAGACGTAAAACAGTTTCATTAATTTTCACAGTAGTGCATAAATGCAATGTACTATTTATTGGTTAATCTTCATCATCTGAAATATCCAGGATGGGACACACCTCGTCCTCCTCCTCCTCCAGCTCCCAATCATCGTCACTTGAGATCACTTCCTGCTCTTCGGATCCTTCAAAAATTTCTGTATTCACAGTTATCATGTTCTCAAAAGTACATTGGGCTTGTGGAAGTGACGATCGAACTTCAACGGGAAGTTCATTTCCAAACAAGGATCCCAATACAAACAGTTTGTTTTGCTCTTCACAAACTCTGTTTCGCAGGATACACTTAAGTCCTCTCACATAAACCGCCGTGTCGTCTGCATGTCCATCAAGAAATTCTTGATACTTCGCTTTCTGGTTTTCGTGATGTTGTATCAGCCGCAGCATTTCAGAATTCAAGTATGTCATCTCTTCTTTACATCTTTCGATGAAGTGGTGCAAGTCAATGATGGTTCTTTTTACAGAGAATGGCAACTGTTCTTGGTCAGGCACATTTATTCGAAATTGATGGAAAATGCTTGACTCGGGATCTTTCACGTTGTCAAAGTCGATCTCTTCCGGTAGTCCTTCAACTCGATCTTTCCATGATGCGAGCGCAGCGTTATATTTCTCGACAGTGACTCGTATTCCATTGGTCCTTTGTGTGATTTGTTTGGATAGTTTCCCTGCTATTGCTTGACCATCTATGCGAAAAGGAAATTAAAATTTACATTACATTACGATTACACACAATGCCGCACATGATTAAAGACAACATAGAGACATCTGAAATGCATGAAACGTAAGCATTTTTTCTGTTGGTATAAATATACATTACACATTTACGTATGAAAACCTAAACATATTTAAAGTCACATGCCTGCATATTTTCGCTTCAGTGATATCAGGAACATTCGTTCGACGGCCATGGCATGAATTCGTTCCATTACGCGGTTTCTTCTCCCTTGCTCAACACAAAGAGCGGCTGAATTAAAATTCTCTTCTCCTACTTTCCATCTTTCTTGTACCTTGTGGACTCTTTCAGTTGACGCAATAATCTTTAAAACACTAAAGATTACATTTGTTAGGAAATTAAATGATAGTGCATGTAAATTTATAGCCTGTGCACAGACTGTGATTATGCTGTATATCACAGTCTGTGCACAGCCTAGTAAATTTATCACTTGCTGACTTGCAATTTAATAACTTACGCTCTTCTTTTTCGAACAAGTTCATTTAAACCATCGTGGTTATTGGGCTCTATAGCAGCAATATTAAGCCTATATAAAATTAAATAATCACTGATGATTGTATGAATACTGTCGATTGCAACTAAGCAGTAGGCAGAAACATGTCATCAGAAAACGCGATCCAATTGGCTGTCAAACATGATTTGTTTTGACTTTTGTTACGTTTTCGCGGGAAAAATAATTGTAAAACGTCAAATGTTTCAAGCAAATCATGTAAAGTTTGAAGTCCAAACATGTTATGTTTCATGTCCAATTAGATCGCGTTTTCTCATGACGTGTTTCCGCTTAGTTGCAATCGACGGTATAAGAGCTACCTTATGCTTACACTGGTTTTTAATTTTACAACCACATTGCTTTAATACCTTAGCTCTTGCAAATGAAACAAATTCTGCACATATTTTGCTTCCCACGATAACGGTAAGCCTTTCTTACCTGCAACATAACACATTATACGCAGTATTATTTACAAATTAACCACAGTGGGATGTTTGGTGATAATACAGTACATGTATCTGAATTTTTAAAAAAAAAATTTTAAAGTATTTTTTAAATGTTTTTATACTTTATAAAGTATATTAAATATTACTTTAAAAATGTACAATTAATTGCAAAGATAAAAAATATCGAAGCGACTATGTTATAGGTTACGTTAGGTCTGAACCATTTGTTAGCTTACTTTCTCGTGTAACCAACAAAGTTCGTTCTTCCTCAATCCAAGTTTCTACCAAATCAGAATCATAGGAAACTATTTGAAAATGAAAAAAAGTTTACCATTGAAATTATTACAGAAAAAAGTTTATTACTTTATTGTTCTTGAAGTATATATTTTAGCACGGAGCAACAACCAGATGAAAAATCAAAAGCTTGAGAGACCAACAGGAGAATGTTTTCTTCTTAGTTTTCTACTCATCTTGATCCAATTCTTAATACGTCTACCGCAGCATAAATGTTATCGCCAGTTAATTTAATCTCTATGCAATCATCGCTTACATACATACTGTATTTCGCATGTTTAAAAACATGAAGGGGAAACTTTTCAAAGGTTTTAAGAAGACACTAAATAATCGTTACCGCTACAACACACCTGTTAAATTGGAAAATATCTCTTGCATTTGTATCATTGCATTGTCCAAAAGTTTGCGAGTTTTTTTCATTTTTGAAACCAACGATGGTCCTGCGACGAGAAAGTAAACATTGAAATATTACTATGAGTGGAGATTCACGATAGAAATATATAGAAAATATAATATTTGCTAACCAAATTGTTGCACACGACGTTGGGCGTAATGCAGTAGAGCGTCCGTCAGAATGTCGATTCGCCGACCAGCAGTCATTTCTTTTGTCATGGCAGAAAAACATCTTAAAAAGGACCATAACCTTTCTATTCCTTCGCCATCGGTGAGACCATACCCTTTCTTCCTTCTGGGGCCAAAGGCTATCTATAAGAGATAAAAATACTGCCTGTTAGCATAATCTATAGTATACGTGTAGACTGTTACAGTGGTGAAGCTAGTCATAGCGACTATAGATATGCTACGCAAATAAATCTGCATGCAGTAGCTTTACAGACACATACAGTAACTAAAGTGCAACTGTACAGTAACTAAAGTGCATTTTTAGGAGAGAAGAAGCATGAGCGTGTAAAATTACTATTACATTAACAGCCAAATGTCAGAGAGTGCTCAATATCGTATAGAGAATGATCAACATCGTATACAGCTATTTCAATTAAGGTTGTCCACGAGCAAAGCAGAAAAGTCGAATACGATCGCGAAAAGGCTGCTGGGAATCGCTAAAAAATTAATGAATTTTCATAGTGATTCCCAGCAGCCTTTCGCGCTCGTATTCGACTTTTCCGCTTTGCTCGTGAACAACCTTAATTGAAATAGCTGTATATACGTACAGGTAAATAGTGAGCATTTGAGGTAGCTACATTATATATGTTGTACATGTACTGTATAACATATATAAATACAATCTTCAATGAAATAAATAGGTATATCAACCTCTTCTCCGACTTTGGCAGGCAGTAACGGAAACGATATAACTTGGATATATTCAGTTGTTGCAGGGGTTTTGCCAAAGTGCAGAAATATAAAAAATTAAACTCTGCTACAAACCTAGCCTGTGCACACACTGTGATTATGCTATATCACAGTTTGTGAAAATTGACTCAAAATTCGTGGCATTTGTTGTCGACCTCCAGCTGCGCTACCCAGATCTGGGTAGTTGATTCTGATTGGTCAAGACTCAAGACTAAACTTAATTAATGATTCTGATTGCCTGGACTTAAATATTAACGACCGTTTGACTTTGACTTTCAAAATCGAAATAATATTTTGTTGGCACTTCATGTTCATTGTAAATTTTACTTATGGTATCCAATTGAACAAATAAAATGCAATCAATGAGATGAAAATTACGGCAATTATTTAGCCTGATACGATTTGTTTACGCTACATTAAAAGTCAAAACTTTGTTGACCTTTGAACTCAGCCAATCAGAATCTAGTGAGTTTAACTACAGTATGACCAATCAGAATCAACTACCCAGATCTGGGTAGCGCAGCTGGAAGTCGACAAGAAATGCCACGAATTTTCACAGACTATGATAATTAGCATAATCACAGTCTGTGCACAGGGTCTACTGTACAAACCTGGCAAGACGATTTATGGCCATAACAGTGGAACACAGGGATAGCCAAATCAATCCTGGCAAGCATATCTTGTCTGTCATTTTTCTGAAAAACATATTACAGTAATTGCTTTGTGTAGCTCGCTTTTTCAACTCTAAAGTAAACAATAACATACACTGGACATTTTTTTCCTACCTTCAAGTGAGCTGACAATATACAACCTATGTCATATGTAACTTTGACATCAGCACTCTCATCACAATGAGTCAAAAGACGTTCAATCTCATATACAGAATATGCAATCCTATGAAATAGAAAAAGTGAAATTAGTGTAAAATAATCATTGTAACATGAACATACATGCACAAATGTAATTGGCGGAATATTACCATACATAAATATAAATATACACTACACATTAATAACATCTAACCTTTCTCCATGTTTAATGCTGATGAATCCTTTGGGATATTCATGTCTGCATACTCTGCCAAACACTCCTTTTTCATCAAAAAGATTATTTCTTCCCTTTGACCTCAACATATTATTTACCTCACCAGATTTAAACTCACTACAATCCTGGATAAAACACAAGCAAAATCACATGGCATATAATTATAAAATATTATCGACTCATATGTAAGTCAGCCATAGCAAATAATCATGCAATGCTAATTAATACATTTTCCTCTAAATAGTTTTAAGACAATATATTTCTCAAGGTTTGAATAATGCAAATCATTTAAAATTTGCATAACATGACCAGTTGACATGGCTGGCTTTGCCACTGGTACGACTATGTTCCTCATCCAGATAACTATATGAGTATGACAAACAATAAGGAAACAACTAATTAAAAATGCAGTTTCTGATAACAGCAACGGGGTTTTCACTACACATATTATTGCTAAAGGAAAATGTAGCAGTACTGTATACAGTACATGTACCTGTATGACAACACAAATACTTAGGACAGAAATTTTCACTTAAGGCCAGGATGTGTTCACTTGACAAACTCAATAACAAGTTACATTAGAAGTTAAGGCAAACTTTTCTCCCACAATTTAGGCTTACCCAAAAATGTATAGTTAACAGTATTACATTGCACAAATGTGGTAATCACATTTTACAAACTATTTAAAAATTATTTTATATTTCTGTAGGGTAGTTTACACTCACAGTAGGTGCCTCTTTTGCAGTCTTGCTATATTGTTCAACAAAATTATCAACATCATCTTGATCTGCAAAGAATGTGTCACCATGCCTTGGGGGGAAAAGGTTTGCACCAGCTGATTTTTTTCTTACAAGCCCAAAGCAGGCATCCATGGATTCAATGATGACATCATTTGTTCCACTCTAAACAATGGAATACATGGACATTGGGTTAAACAGTAACCTATTACAACTTGAACTTGGGTAAAAATCTACTAATTTGGTTGTGGGGCAGTGTGCAAACAGATAGTACAATGCATGATTAAATGTTAACACACCCTCCCCAGTGGTGAAACAAGCCTCCCCCAAGCAGGGAATTAGCCATTCAGCTGGCATTTGGATAGCCAGGTTTATTAATTAAGTTAAATCGGCCATCAATTAAACATTTGTAATGCACAAGATAATTAAGTCCTTAATTATAATTTAGTGATCATTTGTTATGTATTCATGCAAACACTTCACTGCTCAAATACCTATTCACTGTAGGATTTAGGGTGAACATATCCCCCATCAAGTGTTTTATGCAGGGGTGGATCCAGCAAGGTTTTTCTAGGGGGGTGCTGGGTGAGCAGCCGAGTGTTTCTTTACAATTCTTTAAGGAGTGGTGGGAGAGCATTCAAATGAATTGGCTTCCAAACAACTCGAGCGCCGAAAATGCAAGCTCCCTAGGAGATCCAGGGGTACATATGCTCCTGGAACATTTTGAAAACTAGAATCCTAGAAATGCCATTTCCTGCGATATGGGCATTGCATTATGAGCTTCAGTTTGACTTCAAAAAAGGAAAAACCTTGGAAATTATGCCATATTTCTGAATTTGATTTTTTTCACCCCCCTTGCACCCCTGTTGACCAGGGCCAACAGGGGTGTACACCCCTGTGCACCCCCTATAAATCTACCCCTGGTTTTATGGGCCAATATAAACTCAAAAATGTCTGGGAGAGTCAATTTGGACACAGCTCAAGTGTCAGTTCCTAGCTAAGACCTATATATATATCTATTGGCATATTCTCAAGAGTGTATTTAATATCATTTCGATTTGTCAAATGGAAAGAGAAACAAAGTCCCTGGGGGAAAAAGGACAAACAGACAAAATAATATGTATCTAATTGTATGGTACTAACCTGGGGGCAAAGAGGACATTCATTGCTTAGAGAATGTTCACCAAAAAATGGTTTCATAGTCTTAAACAAATGCTGATTGTACCTGAAAAAAATACTATTAGATAACAAATTTAAAGAATTTCTAGGGTCTGCAAGCATTCTTGCAGGCAGAATTAACGTTTTAGAGGGATGTCCAATTGGATTTTTCTCACAGTGATGAACAATTTTATTATAATATAATTAATATTTGAGAGAGAAATTGATGAAAGTTATTGTCATTGACATCATTTCAATCGCAAGTTGCTAACTTTCTATTCAAAACAACATGTTCTATAAAAACATTTTTTTCCACAACTGTAGGCTGCAGTGTAGTGAGAGCTTGTACAGTAATTTATGCACAATGATTCCATGAGTACAGGAAAACAAACACTGTTTAATTTTAAACATTACCGAAATTCATCAAATGAATCATCATTGAGTATTTTGTACAGATTCTGTACCTGCAAAAGAATAATGAAGTGCTCATTTAACAATAAATATAGATACATGTAGTCAAAGGTATTCACATGCTGTTTGTATTATAAAATACTACTTTTTGTAATCCAAGATGAAGTGCTTAACCTACTAGACACAAATACATTATTGATCATGTGCAGTATGTCTGCAAGTATGCTTCCTGTATGCCGTGCAATATTGTGACACTGTAGATCATGGGAACAAAATCATAAAATAGTAGAAAGGTGAACTAGATGTTGAAAGTTTTCTGTTGAAAGGTAGAGTGAGGATACCTCGGTGAAGCAAGGTCACATTGAGAAAAACAGGAAGTTGTTTCAACATACCCATTTTGGCAGCATTGTGGATTTGTTTAGGCCCAGCATATCACAGAACTTCTTCAAAGATACATGACATTCAAGTAGAAGAGATTCAGCAAGCATTACCAACTTGAAATGAAATGCAACTAATGGTCTGGTTATTGACCCAGGCCATAGTTGTAGTTTTAACAGAGTAACTGCATCATCTTCACAGCAGCAGAAAAGTATTGCCTTGTTATGTTGGTGTCCTATATGTAGAAAGTGAATGTCATGAATATTACTGTTATAAATGACAAAATAATGAACTACAGCATTCCTCAAAATATGAATGAAATTCTGAACAAATGAATACATATAGAATATTTTGTCAACACTGTGCAAAATATCACATCCTTACACAGGGTCTGAAATTTAAATATCTTTTCAGTATCCAACTGGGATACCAGGATTCAAAGTTTAGTATCCCCCTGAGAATGCAGCATCCCACTTCTGGATACTGGTTACCATAAGTATTATACCCTGTCCCATCCAATAACTCTCACTGTTACAAATTACAATGACAACATGAGATTCAACAGTCAAAACTGTCAATTTGTCAACAACTATGCAATTCATTAATACACAAAATGCGCATTACATGAGGAAAGGCTTGGGTGGCAAACTCATAGTACCGTATTCAAAAGCTATCAGGAGACTGTCAGAGGTGCTTAATTTGAAATTTTCTTTGTGTCCAGTTGGGATATAAGTCATTCACAGTTTAGTATCCAAAACCAAATTTTAGCATCCCGTGGATATCAGGATACTGCAAATTTCAGACTCTGCTTACAAGCCATCTACAGTATACACAACATGTCATACAACTAATCAACCATTTCACTTAATATATATCCGCTTAAAAATCTGAGGAAGGTTTAACGTAACATTTCACCTGACATTGTAACTATAATAATAATACAACCTCAGCCTATTTTATACACCATTTGAAGCAAAAAAAAAACCCATATATATTACCATTTGGATCAACACAAATTATTGTTCTCGGCTGGGCATATGGACATTGTTTTTGATGACGCAGTGATAGGACAGCATGATTGGCCATTAAAGGAACAAAACATCCATCCTGAGGTTTAAATGATACATAATACATTGACTTATTTAGATACATGACATATTACATATATTTTATAGAAAAGAACTAATGCACCAGTCAAAGTAAACCCAGACCCTCATCCTGGACAAAGAGGGGACTTGGTGGGGATTTAGTGGCTTTTTGTCATCGAATTCTGTCCCAACCATGTCGGGAATTTGTTGGTTTTGTCACTCTGCCGAATTACGCTGGGAGGATAATGAGGATTGTTAGGGGATTGTCTGCGGCCATTTTGTACTATTTTGTACCGTTTTGTCCAATGGAATCCCCAGGTTCTACCATTTTATACCATGTGACAAAGGTCAAGATGGCGTGCTTCGCAAGGAAGTGAATCGAGAGGAATTTTATAAATATATTATTAATTTAATTTCTTTTCAATCTATATGTTAATACCTGTTAATATGTTGGACATCCATCCATGGAATCTATTGTTCTGGAAAGCTCGACATTTGTTTGTTTATATTAATGTTTTTATTGTTCTTTTGAGTTTTGGAACAAAATATTAATATCTTAAAATGTGGACGATTTATGCGGCGGGCCGGACATTGTCCAGGAGATAATGCAGGAGATAAATTCACTCACACGACTTACAATTTCCCCCTGGGGGTAGGGCATTTTTTGTCTTTTGCTAGAAAATTTTGTCCCATAAAAAATCCCATATTGTGGGTCATTTGTCTGTTTTGGTACGGTATTCAAAGCCAATCCCCACCTATATCCCGGGGTGGGTGGAGGGGGGTCGGGGTTTACTTTGACTGGTGCATAATCAAAACTATAATTAATAATTTAAATACACGTCTATTTAAAGTTAATATGTATGCAGTAAAACTTATCTAATATAACCAAAACAATATAAAAAACATTTAAAAACCTTGTATGTCTCGAGAACGTGAAAGTAGTTTCTCTTTTCATGGACCAGCTTTGCGCAGTCATGGCAAAAGAACTGTCTAGGGCCACACTCCACACATCGACAAACAGCATAATTTGTGTTGCATTCGATGCACACAGTCTCACAGGAAAACGCTTCTTCTTCAACGCGAGTCTGTAAGAGAGATTCCCTTATGCCTTCCCAACTGTTATACTATTTGACACGACGAAGATGATGCTTTGATAGCCCGGATGGTTTCTCACTATTAATTTCTACTTCATAACTACAGCCAGGATCACAGGATGGTTCTTCCAAATTATCTTCAATAACTGGAGAACGTGGTTCATTTAAAGTTGCTGTACGACAAAATTTATTTACCTTCACAACAACGTTTCTTTTTATTGTTCGACCCCGTGTAGATTTTGTATTAACGCGAATTTTTGAAGACTTAAATCGCTTTGTTTGTGGCCTCGTTCGATCCGCCATGTTATTTTGTAAATATTCACTAAATTGTTTCCAGTACTTTGTCTATGAACCGCGTCAGATTGCTCAGGTGATCATCCGGCTCACATATAAGTGACGTTCTAAAATTTAGAACTCTTGCTATATGTGATTTAGAACACGAGGAACGGGTGTTCCAACACAGTTTCTGAGACGTAATTCAAGAGGTGACTATTCATGCATTTGAACTATTATATCATTTGGTGTTATTCTGCGCGATTACGGAATATTGTTGGAAAGGGGGCTTCCATATACGTTGAAATCACTAAATAAACAGCTCATGCACACATTTCTCCACTTCGTCGTTCGTTTACAGAGCAGATTTTATATTTTGGCACTGATCTTTGTCTTTGATGCGCACATTTATTTCTCTAGTTTAAGGAG